CACATCACCACACCACTACACACATACACACAACACACATACACACATACACAAAACACACATACACACATACAAAAACACACATCACACATACACAAAACACACATAACACATACCACAAAACACCACATACACACATACACAAAACACACCATACACACATATCACAAAAACACACATACACACATTACAACAAATACACCTACAAAACACACTCACACTACAAAAAAACACACCCAGTACACACATACACAAAACACACCTACACACATACACAAAACAAACCTACACACACACACAAAACACACCTACACACACACACAAAACACACCTACACACACACACAAAACACACCACACACACACACAAAACACACCTACACACACACACACAAAACACACCTACACACACACACACACTTCGCAAATTGCAATCCATTCTCCTCGCTAAGGCTACTCCATTGAAGCACGTACCGTTCTTTACCTTCCATGTTCTGTATAGGCGATTACGAAATATAACAAACTCATCCTCATCGCCACGAAAGTTCTTTCAGCGCTCTGTGTAAATTTTAAATGGAAACGACAGCTACGGTAAAATAGCGCACTTCATGTTTAGGCGGAGATTAAAGCGCGTTTCACGGCAATTCCCCAGCGATCAAGCGAAGGCCTCCCACGCGACACGGTTATCGCCTGGGTAGCGCACAGTAGACCCAAACCACACGCACGCTGTTTAGAATGCCGATTACGCACTTCATAAATAGTATGCAACATAAACATGAAAATATATTGATTGTACCCTCAAAGCTTCTTAAGAGAAAATTAAAGATTTTTGCAATCGAGCTATTCCATTTCCGTAACAAAATGATTTGATTGATACGTGATTGCGGACGTGTCAATTGCTAAGGTTATTAGTCTCGTGAGTGTAATACAGGTTTTTAACGCAGAAGTTGACGGTTTTCTTGCCCCGATGGATGCAGAGACTAGAGAGCTAGCGGGATTTTTTTCCACTATCAGGCATCTTCCAGCAGGGCACCGTGCTAGCCAGACAAGCTCTAAGCTCCTGACTGGTATCCCGGCAAGCGTGGTAGTGCAGGGCATGTCAGTGTAAGTGTGTGTAACTAAGGGGGGGGGGACAGGATTGCACAAGGAAGAGGAAGGAAAGATCCAGCGAGGTCCGTGGCCTTTTTGTTAGGATATTGCAGAAACCAATGGAAGATCAGAGCAGCCGGCCGCTAAAATTCCCATCCAGGAAACGGCAGAATTCGACCCAGCTAGTGTCGAAAATCCTGCCACCGTCGGGACTAGAACCGCAAGACCTCCCTGTTAGAGGCACATCAATAAATGCCCTGAGTCACCTATGCCGGTCGTAACAGAGATATCACGAGAAATTTGTTTATACAATGACAAAGTACTTTTCCCCGGTATTCCATTAATGTCACGCATAGCCTATATCTTGAGATCTAGAATCAAGCACCCAAACTATCAAATAATATTGAAATGTGGGCCATGAAAATGTTTCCATCAATAATTCTTCACTGTATGGCAGGTTTAAATGATTCGGATGTTGTGTTGACCCAACATTGTTTTGTGGGAAGCTAAAACGAACTACTTCACGTCTCGTTACTGCCTTGAAACGCCAAGTACAATACCCTTATACGCATTTTATTCAACACATGCATACAACTTTCCGGGGGGAACTAGGGGAACATTTTGCGAAAGTCAGCATCGTTGAATGAATCGTTTCCAAGTAATCTCTCGACTTACAATTTTAGTTATGAAAGGTGATGCAATGTCATAATATCTGGCTCTATTTCCCATTTAAATACAAAAATAACTAATATGGTGCTCACATGTTTCTTTTAACGACCTATTTTATGAATTCGACTTTTCTTGCATGAATTTATCGTCCTATTTATATCTTTCCATATGCTGGTAATTACAAAAATTTCAAACTTCGATATTTATTATTTTCGATGACGACCATCATGCCTTATAATAATAATTCCGAATACCGTGTCTATTATCTTCCCTGCGCCCGTCGATCGACCCATTTCGCACCAGTGTGCGGCGCGTAAGCAATCCCACAGAGTAACGAGGCGAGAGAGCCAATAAACAGCAAATTGCGGCATTTTCGCAGATCGCGATGATCCTTGCGTAATGAATGTTTCCGGAAATGGTGCATGTCTATTAATAGGAGAATTACGATTCTAGGATCGTGCTTGAAGTGCCCGCTGCCTTTGTATTAATCTGCCTGTAGGATAAATATTGAACAAGAGTTGTGTAGATTCAAAATTGCTCATTTGTACGTTGTGAACCACTTCTAATTACAAAGATAAGAGCTGAGGACACAAAACGAAGAATTAGATATAACCATCTAATGGATTCTTAGCATTCACCAAAGTGTTAAGTCTTTTGTGAAGTATATCAAACAAAACAGTGCACTTGTCGGGAATCACGATGGAGTTAGTTTTTATACTCGTAACATCGAACAACCAAGATAATATCCGTTCAATACATCATGCATTTTCGTTTTTTTCGTTATTACCATCAAAATTTAGTTCAGCATTACTAAACAGAAACGGCCCATATTTTGAAAGCAAGCACTTGTACGAAAACATCGTTACTTACTCATTATACTCTCTGATAGGCGATAAAGCCATTAGGCTTTCAGGATTGTGTCGCAGCTTCTGCTTTTGATTTGTTTGGCTCCGGAGAACCAAATCCTTGCTTCTAGTGAAATTTGTATAAACACAAAGAGAAAAAGTAACTCCTAGCGGTAAGGGAATTAGTGCGAATCAACCAGCTTCAAAAACTTGGGTAGTCACGAAAGACAATGCGTCCACCATGTACATAAAGTCAGTGCTGCAAATCATTCTACTCAAAATGGTGCAAGACAAATCTGACTACATGATACAATTACAGTGAAACATGTATTAAGCTAACACTGTTGGTTCTGTGAATAAAAAGGTGTGGTCCCTTAATAGGATTTTTTTTTTTTTACGAAAAAAATTTTCTTACTACACAATTCCTATTTTATCGCACGTTTATTAAAGGTTTTTAATTTTGAGAATGAATTATAAAAAATAAAACATTGACAATATTTTATTTTTGACTTTTTGACGAAATTGGCTTTTTAGATTTATTAACTATATTAACTTCTAACTTATTTTCCTCTGTTTTTCTCCCAAAATGCAGCTCCGCCAACCATTTTCAATCACCATTTCACTACACTTCGTAATGGGATTAGGTTACAGAAGCGCATCGTTCCAGGCGTTTCTCTACGCATCACATCAGAGAGTAAATAAACAATGGAACCCAACGGTTTGGAAAACGAGCGAGGGAGTACAGTGCCCTCCCAATCGTGTTTGGGGACCAGCGCTCGTACGTGCCACATAAGCAAGATATTTTTAGCGTTTCACGAAGATTGGCAGACATAGCATAGACTGTGGGGTTTGTGCGCATCACAGATCCAGCGACCGCCTCAAGCAAGCAACCAAACGACTTGTTCATTCATAGGTTTCCTCGCGCGAGAAGTTGACAGCAGTTTCCTGACAAGTGCGAGTGGGTTTCTAATGAAATATAACCGAAAGATCTCATTTTTCTTCGAACAATTTCTAATATTTTTTCACGCTGTCGCGTCTCAAATATAACAATCATTCACGACATGAAATGTCGAAATAAACTATTCAAGTTAGCAACATGAAAAATTCTGTAAGAGTAACGACCAAGTCAAGTCGACAAGCTTAACTTAGTAGATCAAACTATCATCTTAGAAGTGATCACATCACTCTCGCTATCTAGAAATCACTATACATACCTACGTACAGGCACTACCAAAACTATTCGGTCAACCGCGATATTACTTTCACCTTCCTTAGAATCCGGGTTTCTTCTCTATTAGAAAATTTATTTAGGCGCCCCCCTCGAGGATAGCTCGATTCTGTTTTCCTTATTGAGCCCTCATATAATGTCACTCATCTACTCTTCATCATTAACATTTGAGCAATTTTTCGGCATCTCTTACCTTCCTTGTGGCAAAATACACACAGCTGACGTCGTTCGAAAGTACCGTTTCTCCCTCTTCGTTTCCGTCTCATGTTACTCCCACACAGTGGCCGAAGCCAACTCATCGGTGACGAGAGCAAACTGTCGCTGGCTCATGTATGACCTTCAGCGTCAGACGTCCGTTGATTTCAACGGTTTCTTTTCAATATTTAAAGGTCTGATATTTCGGTTCATTCACGTTCTGTCCGAATAGTTGAGGCCCACTGATTTGTATCAATGATCATGAAAAGGTCATTCTCCATAGAGCTAATTTTCCAATTCTCAAATTTACCTAAATTAGGAATTAAAATATAATAATAATTTGTGAAAAATATTTTAACGAAAGTTCTTGAAATTAGAGGTGTTCGAATAGTTTTAGGAGTACCTGTAAAACGATTTAAAATGTATTATTTTTCAGAAAGCTGTTCGTTGCAGATGACTTGAGAAAGCCTTGAAAAAAAAAAGGGGAAAAGATTCATTAATTCCAAAACTCAGTGAAATATATCTCAGTTAGCGTTTGCTATACTAACGTCTGAATCAATTCAAGCCAAGTTACTAATCGTATTAAAAATGAGTCTGATAAATTGATGCGAGACTGCCTTCTCTTTCGCGATAAGGATACGCTTAATGTGCAAAGTAACTTATTAGATTCGTAAAGAAGTTAATTAAATAAATATTTTGCATGGGAGAAGAAACGTTTTCTCTGGCATCAGATACAGTGAAATGTCTCTCTCTCGCGATCACTGACTTATTGACATCTCTGATTTTCCCTGGCTTCAAGAACGAGAAAGTGTTAGGTAATCATTACCATTCATAAACAGTTCAATATGATGAAACTGTCAAGTACTGGTAGAACAACTATCTAAACTCTCCACGTGCGTGCGTACGTACGTACGAATTCCATTTCGACTTCTGAGCTGTATCACTTGTATAATAAAAGTTGCAAATCTTCAATAACTATTCATACGCCAATTGAATGGACAACCACGTTGAGAAATTTACTTCACTTGATTCTGCATTGAACATGTTTCGGTCCCAAGCTTCAAGGCTGCAAGAGAAAAACGAAGTAAAATACGATGCGATTTATGGTTGCGGCGTGCGAGTTCAGTAGGCAGAGGAAAGTTTGAAATAACGCGCTTTATAAAAAATAGCGTCGGATGAAGAACTTGAAAGAGCAGCCGCTGGAACGGCAGGCAGGCAGGTCGGCCGGCGCAGTGCGCGTCGGAGCGAGCGGTGCCGCAGGGCGCAGCGGCGGCTACCGCCTCCCCCCCCCCACACACACACACACATGCACATCCCCCGGGGGACACGGCGCGCCGCGGCGCTCGGGCTACATGCACCTGCCGAGGAGCTCGTTAGACGCGGCGCCCGAGCTCCGCTCGCAAGCCCACACGAACGCGGAGGCGACCGCTCTCCAAAGAGCTCGGCTGAGATGGCACGGATCATGCGCGAGTGCAATCTGAAACTATTCTAATGAAATCTTCAAAAGTTGTGTGTCAAATGTTCGCTCGAGCCCATAAATTAAGGTAGCAACCGTACTAACACAGAGCGGATTTACTTTCAAGTTATTACTCCATGAGAATGTAAACAGTGGTAGTGAACATTCTTTTGTCCTGAAAAGATAATTCGTGGTGCAATAAACGAGGAGGAACCAGTCATAAAAGGTCATAGGCCTAATACCTAAAATGCATCGAATACCTAATACGTTATTACGAATCATAATTTCTATTATAATCATTGCCAATCAAAAATTCTGTTTATTGTAAAATCTGTGCTGAAGTATGTTCCTTTTGGTTACAGAATTATTACACATTCTTTTCTTAGTTGAGGATTTTTAGACACGTAATTCCATGACGATATTTTATGTCATTAAAAACGCGCTATCTTATATTTAAAACATTTTGTTCAAATTGGAAACAAAGTAAACAGTACATAAATAATACAAACCATACAGGAATAATATTTTTTGTTCAAACTAAGTAATGCACTCCCAAATGAAATGAATTTCTCACCTATTCACAACTGTTCTGAGTTTTTTCTTTCTTCAAAAACATAACAGTACCTGCTTCAGTTTAGGTTTATAATATGAACTTCATTTTTTTTCGTTTTGAACTTCTTTATATTGTTTTAAAGGTTAAAAGTTCAGGGATTTTACTTGGCATGCATTTCTCTAATGAGCAATTTGCATTCTATGGTGGATTTATGTTAACTTAAAAACAGCGACAATTTGGTTTTCGAAGAAGAAATCTGTTGCCTCTATCTGTGTAATGCATCACTTCTCCCAAAATAGTATTACGCGAACTTAATGTTCATTCGTATGACCTTCCTTACATACATAATGAATTTAACAATATCATTGATATTTATTAACGGTATCTTGGCAGAGAATGATCCAACATTTACAAAAGAATATTTCTGGTACATTGCACTTCTCAAGTTGTGCATTTTCTCCCTAACTAAGCACATATTTTATTCACAATTTTATTAAATTTTAAATAATGCTGGGGTTCAAATTGTAAACTCAGGAGAAAAAATTACTTAACCTTGAAAACAAGCCAATCCCAATAAACAAAGAAACACATGAGCACACGTTGCATGGGAAATTTATAGGCTTTCAAAAAATCAGTTAATGAAAATAAATCAGTTTCAGAAACCGTATTTATTTCTCTGACACCCACAGACGCAGAAAGAAATTTCAGTGTTTCGTGAAAATCTGAATGCGCCTTTGTTTCTAGATTGACCACCTCTGCAATGCACGTCTCTAACAGGATAAACCGAACCACAGCGAATTGAAGTAATTCTAATTTTGCAAGCGCTTCTACTGTCAACAGAACATTTGGCACAGGCTCTCAATAGAACTACGCCATGGACAGATAAAGGGGACCCCTCTCGGTAGAGACAAGCAATATATATGTCCAAACTCCCTCTTCATTTCCTGTACCCTGTGAGCGTTGCAGTTCGGAAGTTTCTTTCATTAAGCTCGTCAACAAGTTCTCGACGAACTCTGATTTTTTTTCTTCTTTCTTTTACTCGTTAGTTTATTCATGCAACTTTCTTATTATCTCGACGACAAATTAGTTTCCTTCAAAAATGTCGACCCAGATTTCCACAAAAACTGACACGTGCAAGTTTCGATGCTGGGACAAGATAAGCGAAGTATTTTCGAACAGATGAAGACAACTTAACAGGAATAATATTAGCAGGAAAACACTTTCCTTGGGCGGAGCGTTTCACAAGTGACAGGTGACTGAGCCGACAACGACTAATAGCAGTGATAGCCATCACAACACGCGAATGGCTATACATGAAGTGGACTTGTTGCTATGTATAGGAAAGGAAATGTAGCTTGCGCTAACGTATCCATGTTAGTTGGTAGGCGAGACGCATGGTTAAGAACACAGTTTGGAGATGTGCGATCGAAGAAGTGGATGTGGAACTGCCTGGTTCGACAACGTGGTTCTGTCAAGCAGTTTCTAACACTAACTTTGAAAGAACTTGGCATACCTTTTCTATTCCGAGAAGAGCAAACTTGGTGCCTATGAAGAGAACACATGGCGATCATGGTTGCAAGAAGTTTGTTTTTTTTATAAAAATTACGTAGCTTGCGTTTGTTTCGCTAGCGATTACAAAAATCCACAGCCTGTTCATTAAGTTGCTACTTACACTGAATATGCACTCTTGACCTGTAGATAAATGCGTCTCGCAACTCAATCTCTCCCTAATTATATTTTAAATTAAAGTTTACGTTTCAACTTACAACGCAGAATCCTATAAATATATACTTTTACAAAAGCATCCCGTTGAGATCGACATCCCATTGAGAGATTTTTTACTTTAGGCGAGCCTTTGCAATCGTTAGAATTCTGGCAACACACTAATATAAAAGGTGACTTAATATCTGGCAAACAATTTGGCACACATCGAGTGAGGGTACATGTAACAGTCTTGTAAAAATGTATATTGTAATTTCTGGCGTGGTTTCATGGTTAAGAATATTGTGACGTCATGGATACTCACAGCGACCACAGACACAGAGCTTTCGTATAACAATATATTTATTAACAAAGAAAAAAAAATATATACACTTAATAATCTACTTACACCCTAGCTCTGATAGACCTACTATCCCCCCATGATCGCGGGAGCGATCAAAACCCGAATTGAAGATGGTTTTGGATGTCGGCATTCGCCCACTCCTACTTTTGAAGCGGCGCACAAAGCCTAGCTTTCCGTGACCGGATGTCACGCTGGGACACAAAGTCCCGTTCTGGCGCACCAAACGGCGTTTGCCTCGATCGCAGGACGCGCGATTCTTATCCGAATGAGAAATCGGCCGCGTGAATCGTGGCACCTCAACCAACTCTTCACCCTCGGAGCACGGCACACAGCATCGCTCCCCCGTTGACGCAGTCACCCAAGCGGAACAAAGTCCGCAAGACTTCGTCAACTAATGACTCCAGCCTCGCCCGAAGCCTGGCTCGCCATATGCACCGTCGTGGCGCCAGTTTGTTGCACAACGCACGAGGTTCTTCCCGCTGGTCTCCAGGACCCACCACTGCTCTGCTACACTCTCTTATATTAGCAGGCCCACGTGACCTACTACGTCACGCCACCCCCTCGCTTGTTTATAACAGTTGAAAAGCTTCTATAAGCCGGAAACTCCCAAAGCTTAGTGTCTCCCGTTTTCGCGTTCTTCCCTTTCGGAAAAACCCTTCTTCCCTGTGCAAGGCTGATTCCTCTGCCAAGCGTCCCATAATAGATGCCACCGGGCACGCTGGCTAATACGTTACAATATCCTCCGCTAATTTAAGTGAAAAATTAGCATTACATTTCCTACAACTTTCTAATAACCTTTACAACTTCCTAGTAACTTGAATGTAACCATTCAATAGCTGTAAACACACAAATTCTGAAAGAAAATTTAATTTTACCAAAAAACGACTTATTTGGAAAGCTGTCTTAAAAGGTCAATCGCGTCGCTTTGGCGAGCGCCTTATTTAAAAGTTAATCGTCGTTAATATTCGTGTTCACGCAGACTTGCCAAGCATTTCGACACACTTAAAAGTTCAACAGAACTCGTTAACCTGCAATGCTAAGGATCTATGAGGACCAGCAAGCAACGAAATGTGCGCTTGTACGCGGTATTAAAGCGGATCAGATACTACGTAAGACGAACATCGTGTTAGTGCATTTACTAGACGCAAATCATGTTTGCTTATTCAGGAAGAAATATTACTATACAGATAACAAAAAGATTCAGAAGAACTTTTATTTCATCCGGTAAATGGCGCTGTCTAGTTTTCTGAGAGGGGAAATTTCCTCTCGTAAACAATTTATAAAATTGACAAAGTCGGTGTGATCTATTCTGCTCTCTGCCATTGACATATTCTGTCCGGTACCAACGATCCCACGTACATGAGATTCGTAACCCAAACGTAAGTTGAGGAATAGTTGGTATAAATGCTCACCGCTCTGGTGTGGCGTCGTCGTTAACCGAGGGCCAGAACCGTTCTACGGTTGGTTTTGGTGATTGATGAAAGTACGCTGCGGGGGAGGAAGGCGTTGGCTCTGAACAATCCGGAGTTGCGCTCGGCTTTTTGACTCAGTAGTGCGCAGAGCCCAAAAAATACCGGGAGGCCCCTGTAAAACTCCGAGGTGCTTGCCGGCGAGCCCTCGTTCTACGGAAGCAGGCAGCAACCTGGAATCCTGTGTGTGGGACGTAAACCAAGGCTGGCCTGCGAGCTCGCGCCAGCCCGCCGGCGGAGCCTATCTATGGAACAGTGGTGGCCACCGAGTTGTCAGCCTCACTATTTTTACGCGGACCGCCATCTGCGCCCGCGTTCTCATTCAGTTTGCATCGGGAAGCTTATATGACTGTGTACAAGGGATGCTAGGAGTGTGGGCGAGATGTCCGGAGTAGTAAGGGCCAGACAGATCCGCGTGCGATGTAGGCCACACGAGTCGCCACGACCGGATAGGTTAAATTTTGGCGGTCAGGGGGCATTTGTGACCCGGTAATTGTCACGGACGGGGTGGGTCCGAACCGCGCATCAACGGCGTGGCTTGTTGGTTTTTTTCCTGGCGGTATAAAAGCTGTGTTCTGAAAGGAAAAGCGTTGCCGGAGTTGTTTTAAAATTAGCAATTCCATTGCAACCTTATGTACATAATCTTTGAATATATTATTTTTATTTTGTTATTGAAATTTATTTCTTATTTCACTACGTCACACTGGTCATAGCATTAAGCAAGCCAAGCGATCCCCTAGAACGGGCGTACTCAACTCGGTGACTCGCTGAGCGGCACTGAGGAAGTACCTGGAAGTACGCCCACGCGCTGCGTTGCGTCGAGGGGACGGACGTCGCCCAGCGCCGGCAGGGAATTGCTCTGGGAAGGGCCTGCGGGGCGATTGTGCGCTCACAGTCATCTGTTCCGGAGTGCATCGCACAAGAGCTACGCGAATTCTCTCTTCCCGGCCTCAGAGTGGGATAGTGAGTGCAAAAAATCAAGTCGCCTCGAATAGAATTTTAAATCTATGTAATGTATTTATTGATCTGAAGACCATCGACAGTGATCTTTAACTTCATGTAAGTCCTTTTGCTGAAGACATCGTAAAACATTAATTCCAGAGTGAAGTTGAATCTTTGCAGACTGACGCTCCTAAAAATACGCTATGAGTTAATTGGTACGTCACGAAATTTTGAAAAAAACTTTAGGAAAAAGATATTTGAATTCACGATTGAATTCGTAAAAAATATTTTGAATGTTTTTGCTTACTCAATTAGAAGACTGTAGAAAGGTAAAAACATTGTAAAAACTATTTTTATGGCAGAGGGGTAGGAACCATATTGCAAATTTTTTTTGTATCAAAATAATCTTCAAAAGTTTCACAGTATTTCCCAATTTACAGTCCTGCCGGCTGGGCCCTCTTAATCTGATGAACTATTACAATGCGGAATTTGAACGTTTAATTATCATGTACATTAATATTTATACATGTATAATTTATTAACTAATACTCTTATCAAGAACTACCAACGCGTTTGTTGAGCCCAATTCGGAGGTACCTCTCCTGGGAACTTAGCATGGGGTTCGCGAAGCATGAGGTTTGCGCCAAATCGTTCTGAAGGTAGGGATGTGCGATTCCGAATCGATTCTATGAAAATCGGTTTTTTAAACCAAAAATTTCTATATATTGAATAGATTCCGTTCTTTACGGTTTCTTCTTGAATCGCTTCTTTAAGCTTGGAATCGAATCATTCAATAGCACTTCTTACATACAATTTACTTTTGAATTTTCAAATACTGTGCGTTCAAATCCAATATTTTAACTGAAGAAAGGAATCGTCTTTCACCTGACCACCTACAGCAGTTGCGTTGTAAGAAATAGCAAATAAATAGCTAAACCAGTGAAAAATCATAGAACTAGGTATAATTTAAGTTTCATTTGCCAGAGCAAGGGTGCTCACGGACAGGCCCACTAACCGTAACATTCCGCAGATTCTGTACATTTGTAAACACCCACAATTGTTTAATATTTTATTTGGTAAAATAAAATATACTTAAAAAGTTTGTATTTATAAGTTCTTGTAAAAAACTAAATATTTATTTATAAAAATAATGTCCTGTTTAATTTCATTCTGCATGTTCATGAATCGATTCTTGGAGAAACGATTTTTTGAAATTATTTTTAAGGGATTCTATTATTCACAAGCGATACAAGATCGATTCAAGAATTGATCTGCGCACGTCTCTAAATGAAGATCACTTTTCCCTCCCGACCACAAGCGCCCCTCTCCCCGCGATAACTCTCCACGTAGATCGGGGCCCAGCCACGATCACGCTTTTTTGGGGCCGATGGGGTAGACGTGCCCCATCAGTGCACAGATTCCACCAAGTCGCAATCACGACCAAATAAATAAAAAAGTCTTCCCTGCGCTTGCGTGTCGAAGGAAGCGAAGCAGAGAGCGAGAGGAAGAGAGAGTACTCACCCCTCGAGAGTCCCGGAAGAGGATGGCGGCGTGGTGCGGGTCGAGGCAGGCGTCGGAGGCGCGGTGCGCCGCGGCGGGCGCGCCCAGCGACAGGCGCCGGCGCTCGGGGTCCAGCGAGCTGCGCCGCAGGAGCGCTCCTGCAAACAACACACACACGGGGTCGGCACACGGCGGACGCACGCGCGCACCTGCACAGCTTTGAAACTGCTTTGCGTCGACGCTGACAGCAACCTCTAGTAAGATTTGCTAATCGATAAAAAGACTCATTTCTATTCATCACTCGTTTTACTTTTCTCCTAGGATCTCTTGAGATTGTATATTACTTTTTTCGCTCGGATCTCTTGATTCGTTTGTAAATCAGCAAAATATTACTATGAAACTTACTTTTGTGTACTCTTATTTCAATGTAAAATATCATTTGCCTACCGTTTTAGACACAAATATACATAAATAAATAAATAAATAAATAAATAAATAAATAAATAAAATAACACCGGCAGCTGAAAATATTAAGTTACGGAACAAGAGCGCGAAAGGGATAATTCGGCAATATGTTTTCATTCTTTCCATATGCAACGTCATCGCCATCTGATATTGTTAGAACAACACTGTATATGTTGAGTTCGCTGTAACATCGCATGCAGTGAACACAGGAAATAGTACTTCCAGGAAAAAAAAAAATACTACCTGATGACCGACTATTCCCAATACCTAACGGTGTTCAGGGAAGGATCTCTTTGAGTCATTTTTTATAGCACTCCGGCGAATGGAAGGACACGAGGTAAAGCACTCTTTCAGCTAATGTGCTGCGATTCTGTTGATCGTCAAGAACCATCGCCTAGGACTGCGAGATAAACAACTGAAATCCCCTCTGACTAGGACATCGTAAATGCTGGAAAGTGTCTTCCAAAACGAAAAAAGAATTTGATAAGAGAATACGCATTAAGGTGTTCTAAAAGTGTAAGATATTGTAATAGAAGGTATAAAAAAACAGCACTACGGTATTTTGAGTGAGTGAGTGAGTGAGTGAGTGAGTGAGTGAGTGAGTGAGTGAGTGAGTGAGTGAGTGAGTGAGTGTGCGCGCCATGTTGAATCAAGTCTGGAGAGAGCACGGTCACGTAAAAAGACACGCCAAAATGAAAATACTTTTATATTGAATTATCTTGAAATTTCGAACCCGCGGTGTTTTGAACCCTTCGGTATTTTACCGAACCTCTGAAGAAATAAAACCAACCAGCGAGGAAAAGCCATTTTGTTTTGGCTCATTATGTATAATGAACTTCTGAAATAATCAACCAAAATGGTGGTTCCCAGAATTTCGCTAGAACAGAAGCCGACTGTATATTCTATAGATATTCTAACATTAATCCAATTTTTGAGTAGTAAACATTTGTTGAGTGGATTCCAAACCAAGAAGAGTGAATAGCGTACAAACTTCGTTCCAAGCCTCGCTGTGTTGTATTTTTCTTGAACTGTTGATAAGATCTAACGAGTGCGATTAGAGTCGCCAAATGTAACTTTTGTGCCCCGAAGACCATGTACAAGAGAGTTCTACATTCACATAAACGTGACATTTGATGTACTCGAATGCATACGTTCCCAAATAGAAGTTCACATAGTCGACAGCCGTTGCGTTGAATACAATGGGTTGTCTATTTATACTCTGCATGATACTGCATTTTTCCAGACTCCATGCACGAGGTTCGGCCAACACTTCACGTCCGATGTTTGGGAGTACAAAATAACTCTCGACACAAACGAGCTAAGTTTTTTACTTAAAAGTTCGATCCTTATTCTACTATTCAGAAATTCAAGGTTTTCTACAAAAAAGAGTAATTTGTGTAAAATGGTAAGAATAACTCCTGCCAAAACAATATGTTCAATTGTTTTAGAATATCTCAACGCACTTAACTGATTGTAGCCAAGTTGCAACACAGTTGATAACTCTCTACGTATATATAAGTAAAATCACATCAATCATCAATATCGTTATCAGGAACGGCTGTGTAATTTTGCGATGTTGCCACTGCCCGAGAAGCTGCTCTCAAAGTGCACCTTGTCGGATAACTCGGGATGTACTGTCGATAATATTTAGCTAATACACTTAAAAGAAATGGGGATTTTTCCTTCAGTTCACCAAAATTTAATTTTTGAATCTGACAACCACCATCGGGAAAATATTCTACTCGTGCAATCAGAAGTATTTCATGATAATTATATTTTTCTTCAATCTAATAAAAGGAAATGATAAGTACCACAATGCAATTGGTGTAACTAACGTGCACTCCTGTAACCTAGCACGCTTGCTCGTAAACGTCACGTAAGGCCAAGCTCACGTTATCACACGCATAACCGTGCAGTTCGTTGGTGTGTGATGCAATATGGAAGCTACATCACCTGTAAGTTACGATCTCTGTTCATTATTCGTGCAATGCACCTCAAATAACATTCAGTCTCCTGCAATTACATCAGCGTATTCCGATCACATTCAGGCAGAATCGTGCACGTTGTCACAATTTGTGCAAAAAGTCTGTCGTGAGGCCAATAGAATTTGGGAGGGAAAGCCATTCGTTTCAGGTTTCATCTAATTTGGTTTGCCAAACTGAGAAAGTAGCAAACCTCCATTTCACTTAACTTAATGCACGAATTGAATATAACCTACGAAGCGAAGTGATGCACACAATTTACCGTTTAGATGAAACCTAAATAGTAGGCGATGATCCAATATTACGTAACATATGCTCTCTTCCTAGCAGCTTTGAAATTTGTCCACCGTGGCACACGTATGATAGTCCCGCCTCTCAGAATAGTCGAATTAGTTCCGAAATAGCAAGAACTCCAGTCAGTACATACTAATTTCGAAAACATTTAAGTTTCCACCACCAAAGAGCATTATTTATACCTGTAATAATGCAAAATTTCTACATCATAGTTCAATATCCACCATTCGATAAAATGTCTTCGCCCAACCTTTAGCAGCTATCAACCTTCCTGCCCTCCATAAAAAAAGAGGTAAAAGATCAGCGTGAAGGCGAAAGTTCTGGGCGCACGGAGGAGCGCGGGTTGAAGCGGGTGGGGGGCGGGGAGAGGGGGCCGGAGAAGATTGTGGGAGAGGAGCCTGGGTCGAGGCGTGCAAGGGAGGGAGGGCGAGGGCGAGGGGAAACCCCTTGCTAAGTGGAGGGAAGAAGTGTATGCGTGGAGGCCGAGATAAGTGAATCGGGGAGGAGGGTCTCCGGGCTCATTAATAAGTGAGGAGGTGGCGCCGCCTGCCGGCCCGAGCCTCGGCCCGCGCGCGCCCTCGCACACAGCAGGTCTTGTTCCGCGCGCCAGGCCTACGTTTCCCCAAGAGTGGAGCGGAGCGGAATCGCAAGCCGTGAAGGGGAGCATAATAGAAAGAAAATAGAAATGTAGACTATTACGAGACGCGCCTGTGGAAATATGACTAGTGGTCAGAATAGTGAACGTTCCAGAAATACATACACCAAATACAAACACAATAAATAAGATTTTTATTCGCCACCGTCGTCTTCAAAGTAGTCACTTGAGACCTCGGACACCGAGCCTAGCATTCGATTTTCATCTTGGGAAAGAGAGAGAAATCGCACGAAGCCAAATCGTGTGAATACGGTGGACGAGGAAGACCGGCCGTCGTTTTTTGTTAAAAACTGTTGCACGATGAAAGCTGTATACGGTCTCACATTGCCGTGGTGAAGGACCCAGTCATCCCTGCGCAATTTCTCTGGAAATTTCCTTCTCCACCGTATAACAGCACGATAGAATCCTTCATTAATCGTCTGACTACGAGGAACATGCTCCTTGTGGATACTTCCATTGGCACTGACATTTAATGATGTAATGTCGGTAGATGGCCGTCCCGAACAGACGGTCGTCCGTTTTTAAAATGTTTAAACCAGTCTATGTTTGTTTCTAGCTCAAAGCGTCATTATCCCATGCTTGCACTTACATTCAGCGTTTCTGCAGCTTTTTTACCATGTTTAAATCAGAACTTGATACAGCTACGCTGTTCTCGCAGGTCAGTCATAGCAAAATTGCAAACACAAGCAAACGTAACGCCCGCCAACAATAAACACGTCCACATACGAAGCATCTAGGCATACTGACTCACGAAACGTGTATTACGATGCTCCTGATGGTGTTTGATTGTACTATACACTGCAAGTGCACATACCAATCGCTTGAAACTTTTGGGTTGCACCTCTTACATAGCCCTTTTCTAGAAATAAAGCATTCTGTAGTTATCGGCATGTAGCAATAAATTGTATCATAGCATACATCCCTACTGATGAAGTTTAACTGAAGGGCTACAAATTAACTTAATAAACACAAACAAAATATACACTGCAATTTTAACTTTCGAAAGTTTATGAGTAAGTTAAATATATCCTCAATTTAAAGAGTCGATGTTTAGAATTGTTACTGTGAACAATGATTATAAATAACATATAAAGGAGAGCTAGATTTTGTGTATTATTTATTCTCTACGTTTTGAGCATCTGTATGTGCTCATCTTCAGGAAGAATGACAAAGGCGCAGGATTACATCCAGCACTTTTGATGCATATGTAATCTTCCATTTTACAGATCTTCTGGAAGATTAGCACACACAGATGATCGAAACGTCGAGAATAATATACAAAACTTAGCACTTATATTGGTGTTCATTATTACAACCACTGACTTCTTTAAAAAACTACGTTTGACACCATTATCCGACAATTTATGAATAAGCCTTAGCACCAAAAGTTACGGCGAATGGAGAATGCCTATAATTACTTCGTAAATATTATTTGGGACATTGCATCATTGTCTAAATGCGTGGCCAGAAAACATTTACCAAATAACGCTTTCCAAATGAAGCATTATACGAACCGTTTCCACAATAATATGCATCATATAATTTGATACGAGTTATTTTCATTGGAATTTTTATTCATGTTTTGCTCCAGATTTAAAAATAGTTTTATAAATTAACGTTTAAACTTTGATAGGTATTAAAAGTTTGTATATAGGGCATTAACAGCGTTTAGTTGAAAAATATTAAAAAAAGTCATCCACTGATATTCCAGTCTACTGTACAGAGTGAAAGATAGTCGGTTTTAAACACGCCCCCCCCCCCGTCAATAAAATACTTAAGATTTTTCAAGATGCAACTTCTTAAACATGGAATTAAAATATGCTTGGCTGAGGAAGATTTCTTCTCACATCACACGTCAGAAGCACGAACTTCCTCTCGGTGATTTTCGTAGGATTCTATTCTAGGCCTTTTCATTCCATGCATGGCCCCGCACCGATTCAGTTTTCCTTGCAGCATATGCACTAATGCAGCATATTAGGTGTTTTAGACACAGTTCAAAGTACACCTTTCCCACTGTGTCGAATTTACAGGATTTACGTACAATGTTTGTTGGTAAATAAAAAGAAAACAGGATCAAATCTATTAATCAGGATCTTAGTAATGCCTTATGAAAGTGGTGACCAGCAAGTTTTACAAAATTAACAGCACTTACAATTCGTTGAATTAAACAACGCATGTTATAATAACATGATCTGAAGCTGTTACACTGAATTAAATGTTTCAACGGCGGTCGCCGAAGTGTTCCCCACGATTACACATTAGAGAACACAAGCATGTTATACAAGCTATTGTTCCAAGTTCATAATAATGAACTGTGTAAAGAACTGTGACTCAAGGGCATTTCAATGACATACTGCTTGACAGATGGTTACCATCAGCAGGTAATTAACATGACAAAGCTGATTTTTTTTAGAAACGCACGAATGATTACTCGTGTTCGTATACCAAGGGCAGTGCGTGTGTACGAGGGTACACGAGAAAGAGTGCGTTTTCAATTTGAAAGCGCTTGAAGTTCCAAATTGGTCCATCGTCTAATATTGCAGCTTCACTGAAAAGTGGAAGTCCAAACTTCATTCCAAGTTTTGGGATACTTCTAACAGGTTTAAATTCACGATTTTAGATTTCGACTTTAGTACCAAAGTAATTATAATTAAATATCTCTAATGAAAATAATCCTTTTCAATTCAAAGTAATGAGTCGTTTATGAAGAGTGTGGTATCGTTTGAAATGTGACTGTACTGTCTACAGATGCTGAAATTGGTGTTTCAGATTACCTCTATTTAGAAATAGATTGCAAATTAAGATAAATAGCCTGAGACACCTAATGAGGGAGATTTACAATAAGGACTTTGCAAACGTTGGCATAAGGTTCATCCGATACTTTGGCATACATTATAGCGTATTACGGATTAACGCGTTTGTTTGCCAGTCAGGTTGTTTTTAAAGTCATATTGAGTAGGAAATGCTTTATACATTAGACGCCGCATTGACTCGAGGTTGTTTTATGCAAATCGCAGACGTCAAATGCACAAGCATCTCGGGAAACTGAAATTCCCGAGAAGAGATGCAATGTGGCGTAAAATTATTTAGCAGGAGCTGCCTAAGTTGACAAACGTCCCGAATAGTTAAACATTAAATATTTCTTAAAGAACGAAAATGAAAGTCTTCGTTAATCTGGAGAATGTGCGAAATTTGTGCACGCGTTCAGTGGGTCCTAATTAATTTAAAAGTTAAGCATGGAATTTAGAAGTTAGGAGAGGGGGCGAATGGTGAGCACATGGTCCGGCCGTAAGCTATAAGAATTTCTACAAACACGTCATTAGATGCGCTCCGGCTGTATTAAATTCCCACCCGAAAACACGTACGAGTACAGCACAGGAATTACATCATCGCAAGAATATTACGAGAGTTGGGGCAGGAGTCAAGGCAACTATTTTCCCCCTAAAAACAGTATCAGTTGCCATAATGTAACTTGTATGATTAAAGAAATGCTGTCTCGTGTATGTTCACACCAACATATGGCCCTGTGAGTGTGTGCATCAGCACAGAAAACGTGAATCGGTTGTCCGACTTCCGCCGTGCGAGATAAATGTAACGTATGTTTCGAGTAGCCCTTCATCCTCCAAGACAACCGTTCTCCATGTAAGAAATGGCAGAATTCTCAGGGACTTGGCGGAAGCTCTCAGGAACAACCCTTTCCATACACGTCTGTCGCAAGATGCGCAGGAGTGTTTCTGCGAAGTCCAGTGATCAGCAACGCACGTGACAACCTGTGAGCGCCAATGCGAGCCCTGCGGTAATTGAGATCTGCGAAATCGGGCCTCTACAACGGTATATGTAACGCTTTTGGAATGTTGTGAACTCATTTAAGCTAGAATCCTTTGGAACACAAAAGAATACAGTCATTTCAAATACCTTGTTAAAAGATATAAAACACAATTTTGGTGTGTCCTTTAATCTCCATGCACTTAGTTTAAACATTGTCCTTTCATGTGTACATTTTATATTTTCCACACATGTTCATATTCTTAGAATAATGATCTCGGCCAGCGCAGGGTCAGGCAGGGTCCGGTAGAGCAGGAGAGGAGATGACAGTGTGTGAATTACAGGTAGGACGCGAAGAATAATGTATGCACCAGTCTTATCTGGCGGCACAGGGACGCCACCCCCCCCTGCTCGACAAACCCCCGCACACTGGGCCAAAAGAAACCAATGGTCGCGCAAATCAATTTTGTTAGTCGAGTCAATGTCACAAACAGCTGTGTGGTTCTGTGCTAGTATTAAGGTTTAAATTTATAACAGAAACATGGCCAAGATCATGGGTATGTAACGTGAAAGGCGAAGATAACCCAGCTCATACTCCCATGGAATCACATAAATCCTTCATTTCAGGCTTGCCCCATGAAGCAAAATGTCGGCAATTAGCTGTCAAAATGCCACCAAAGCTCCCTCAAAGCACCTGATACTTTAAAATAAATAACTTTTTTAAATTAAAATATAGGAAAATTAAGGCTTAAAGCATTCAAACATCAAAGCGCAAGAAGCAAGAATGTTTGGTAAACCTGACTGTACAAAATATAGAAAACCACAAACATTTCAAACGCGACTTTCATAAACGAAATCATAATTATAAAAAATTGTATGGCCCTACTCTCCCTCTCGCACTGCAACAGGAATGGAATAAGAAGGCGAGGACTGCAAGATTCGTTGGTGAGAGTGGTGGTGATAAAACTGATGGTCGACGGAGTGTATCCTACGACTCGTGGGCTGGTGATTTTAATAACCGTCAAGGGTGAAAGAAGACTTAGCAATGGTGGAATAACGGGTAAGTTCAACTGGAGAACTCAGTGCCAAGATTGAAAGCGACAACATCTATGCGCTCCGGGTAGCATTTATCACTTTGAATATAAACAGACGCCTCGTCAGCGCGATGAAATATCTTTGCATAAAAAAGGAGCAAGGTATACTATGTGATCAAAAGTATCCAAACACGACCAAAATGGTGTTACGTGGTGTTCGTGTTTTCATAGATGGGGCTTGTATTCGTTTTCTATGGCACCATCACCGCACATTGATGTTTTAAACACCTTCTTGCTTCCCGCACTGGAAGAGTAATTCGGGGATGGCAATTGCATCTTTCAACGCGATCGAGCACCTATTCATACTGCACGGCCTGTGGCTGAGTGATTACACGACAATAACATCCCTGTCATGGACTGTTCTGCAGAGTCCTGACGTGGATTCTATCGAACACCTTTGGGATGTTTTGGAACGCCGACTTCGTGCAGGGCCTCACCGACCTACATTGATACCTCCCTTCAGTTCAGCCCATTCTTCCGTGAAGAATGGGCTACCATTCCCCAAGAATCACCTGATTGAAAGTATGCCTGCGAGAGTGGAAGCTGTCATCAAGGCTAAGGGAGGGCCAACACCCTATTGAATTCCAGCATTACCGATGGAGGACGGCACGAACTGGTAAGTCATTTTCGGGCTCTTGTCCGGATGCTTATGATCACAGAGTACATCCTGTGCGTTTACCGTCCGCGGGCCCACTGCGTATGGCGGCGCTGGCAGGCAGCTTGGAGTAGGCTTCCGCTGCTTCGCCGCGCCGCCGCCTCTCTTTGCACCCAACGCATGCACGCTTAGGTAAGATCCATTGATCTTCATGCACAGGACGAGGCCGGTGTACGATGATAAGGTGAATTAGCCTAATGTGTGTAAATCGATGTTAAC